CCCCAAAGAAGTTCTGGATCCACCGGAGCTGTATCAATTGTCGCATGTGGTGGTCTCATCGAACAAGGGTCCATAAGCCTAGGAACTGGACAAAAAATATTTACAACATAAAAAAAATTGTCGTCGGCGGCGAGAATCCTGCCACCGGCAAACTTACCCCTGTAGCGGTCGCCGCCGCCACGACTCCCTCGCCGGCCGCCGCCCTCTGCCGGGCGCCTGCTCGTCGTCGTCGGACATGGCGGGGAGAAGGGAGAAAACAGGTCTGCGCGGGGAAGAAGAGAGCGACGTCGATCTGGGAATGGCGGCTTCGTCGGGAAGTTGGCGCGGCCGCCTGAGATTGAGGCGTGGTCGTGCTTTCTCTCGGCGGCGTCGCTGTCGACGCTAGGTTGGAGGTGAGGGAGGGACTGGTGTGGTGTCTGGCGAGAGTGAGTGGTGAGGAAGAAGATAAGAAGGAAAAGGAAGGGAGCGACGGCGCCTGAGTTTCAGGCTGACGGGGCCTGAGTCTCGAGCGGACGCGCTGTCCTCCTCCCTTCAAAACACAATATTCTTGTAAATATTTTTTAATTCACTATATTGGTGGTAAAAAAAAGACAATATTTAGAGAATTAACCCTCATCTCCTTCCATCCTTTCTTTAATCTCCTTCAGATTCGCCTTCCTCACTCCCTCACTCTCCACTCCATCTTATCCTTCCTCATCTTACAATCTAGCTCTTCTTTATAGTCGATTCCTAATTTGAAGGTTCTCTCGACCAATTCCAACCAAATCAAAGAGTGCACAAAGTCTCCTCCTTCCTCTTAATTTCTATTCTTCATCTCTACACTGAAATCAAAGCAAAAATGAGCCTGAAGAAGAGGAGAACAACGATGGAGAGGTTCGATCATAGTGGTGTTTGCGTGATCTGGAAGGAAGTCAGGGCGATGTTGAGACCTACGATATCACATACTTTATCTTCTCTAAAACTAAACGACGTCGAGAAAAGTAGAGTTGTGGTGTGCTAGTAGTGATAGAAATGAACTCGTTATTTGAGGGTGTTTGTGCACAGTACTTCAACTCTTTTAATTCAATGAAAACTTGTTCAAATTGCTTTCTTCGGTTTGAGGATTCATAACAAGCATGGGGATTAATTTTCCTTGAAGCTACGCGTGCGTTTGTGACAAGAAAAAATTTAGACATAATGTTTATTACAAACTCACATAGAAAAAGGAAAATTTGTTTAGAGTATTTTTTACTATAAAAGCAAAGCAAAGTAATGTAAAGATACACAAGAAGATCACTCGACATGAACACACATCTAAATTCTCATTGATCAATGCATCATCTATTGTGCAACTCTATCACCTTCTACTAAAGCATTCCCAACCAATTAGCTTTCATCAAATACGAGAGGAACAATTAGCTAATGCGTATATTCGCTTCATGCCATCAACTAATTAATAAACAACAGAGAAGTAAGGATATCACATAGTTAAGCGTGGGCCTCTTGAGTCATAACATACATTCTATAGCATTGATGATCTAACAATCAAGAATTTATCCAATACATGCACAATGGTGATCAATTCTATCATGCATGCATAGAGCAATGGGATATCATAAGAAAGTAGTTTCCTGACAACCTAGATGATATTATAGACAATGCATGTAGTAGCATATAATAAAATCATAAGCATCAATGATAGAAAGAACTAGATCACACAACTATGGAATGCATATACATAAGCATCGAATGAAGAAGCATCAAAAGCATAGCATAGGTATTGATATACTCAAGCATCCAATGAACAAGAATCATATGAAATCATAAAATGAGATAATCATACTATAATGAGTTCGCATTCATACAATTGATTTGAACTACCTATATATAGAAGAGAAGGAGGATACCACCAACAATGAGGACAACATCTCCTTGACTCAGCCCCCTCATATGGAGGCCAAGCTCTCACTCGAATAGAGTATCCTCATAAGAATATAGTGAATTTTCACCGTGTTTAGAAAACTGAAGCATAGCTCTCTATTTATAGGGAAGAAATCCCAGGGTTTTCCTATTCCAAGTTGGCTAAAGTGACCTTCCTCCACCAGAACACAGATTCTTTGACTTGGAGACAAGCAAAGACTTCTAGAAGCTTTTTTGGGCTTGGACTCTCAGTGGCGGCACCCGCCGTCGTGCTTTTTCTTCTTGGACTAGGTTGCTTGTTTGTGAAACAACTTCTCCTTGTGATTTGGGTGTGATTTGATCATATTTGGGCTTGCGGAAGTTGGACCAGTCTTGAGGCCTCTGTCGATTCCTTCTCTAGTTTGGGTTGAGTTTCCTCGAATGGGCTACTCTTGGGCTCCGATTAAGACTTTTATAGGCTTCGTATAATAGGTGAAAAACTTCTTAGACTTCTCAAAATTTCTCTATTGATCCTCCATAGTTATCCAATTGTCGATCCAAATTATCATAGGTTGTAATTTACCTTGAAAAACACAAAAACGTAGTAAAAAGACATAAAAAGATACAAAAATGCAACCTATGTATAATAATAGCTCATTGATCAAATAGTTATGTTATTCATATGAATTTAAGTAAAAACTCCTAAATATGCATTGATACTTGATAGAAGGAAAAAATATCTCGAATACGAGAGTGATAAACACTATAGTTTGAGTGTTATCACGATCCCTAGAGAGAGACATAGAGCAATCCTTGAGAATCTTAGGAACAAAAATTGAGAGATTACCGTCTTTGGAGCTCAAGGAACAAGTCTAGAAGAGAAAATTGAACATCATAAGAAGATTCAAGGTTTATTAAGTCATTTTTTTCTCTCCTTGGTATTTGCTTCTCTCTATGGAGTACACTTCCCTTTCCACTTGGGCGTGACCGCGTGAGGAATCCAATCTATATTTTGTTGAATTGATAATTGTATAAGTACTCTAGCTTGGTAAAACCCGAGTTAATATCCAATTGATGCATATTTCATGAATTATCTTTGCCTTAAAATATGGATGAAAACTGTTTTGACCTAGGAGAGAATATCTAATTAGGTTGTAAGAGCAAGCATTGATTGGAAGTAGGGGATTGATTGTGCGAAAGTGAATCTATCAACTTCTTTGTATTGGATGGTGATTCAATAGAGCGAGTCTAGGTTGCACTGCATTGGTCGGCTGTCTTAGTTTAGGATAGACTAGATGGCCTTGAGTGCTTTAATTGATATTCAAGGCCAATTAAGAGTTCTCTGCATTATAAACAAGGAATGAAAGAATTTAGGATGTCATTGATTTTAGTTCAACTAGTAGCTAGGACAAATCATTACCCGAGTGATGTTTCTCCCCTTGAAACTTAATCAACTTAATAATTTCCTTGTTTATTTGAGTAGCTATAATCGTTAGAAGTAAACGAACCATAAACCTGAATTGGCTAGCTAGATAATAAACCAAAGTTGAGTACTAGTAAATCTTTTTTTTCGTTGAATAAGTACTAGTAAATCTAGAGACATGTAGATAAGTCAAATTATACTTTGAAGTCACTATACTACAATAATATCAATGGTTCACTTGCCTGTGTAGGAGTGTAGGTTTGTAGAGATCAAGTTGTTGGCGTCGTTGTTAGGGACGTTCTAAATTATTAAGAAAGGAATGTGTTTATTCCTTTAACCTTCTTTCTCTAACCTCCAACTTTTTTCTTTACTTTGTTCCGTTCTTGTTTATTTTTATTTTTATTTTTTGTATTTTGTCTCATCAGTGTGTTAGTAATGTCTTATAATCTTCTTCATATTATTGTTTCTTTTGTTATGTTCTCTTTCTTTACCTTGTGTCATTTTGTGTTGTTTGAGTTATCTTTAGTTTGATTTGACTTTTCTTTTTTCGACCTTTATTTTTATAGGTAGTTCTTGTTTCTATTTTTTTTGTTTTGAATCATGAATCACAATGGTTTTCCTAAATGTGGTATCAACCAACACTAAATTGGTGTTACCCCCAACGATTGATGGACCATCCAAAATGATGAAGGCCAAATATTCGGGTTCCATGACCAACCTCCATTTATGATGAACAACCATGCCCATTGGAGTTTCAAGAATTCAACCATTTTCAAGAAGACTTTCCTCCACAATACGAGATGACATCCGAGTTGGAATTAGTAACGGAGACCCACATGAAAAATTTGCAAGACCATGCTACATTCAACCACCGCAGCCGAAGAGCTAGTTGGAGCTAGCTATGGAAAAGTTCATTATGGATGGTGAAAATTATTCTCCAATGTTGCTTTCTAACCCATCACACCTCGCGATCCATGTTGATGTTACTTGAATCGGATTATCAGCCGCTACGACTGGTAATCGGGGGTCTCGCTGCCCGATCAGCGAGTGGGGTCCAGGGGCAACGCCCCGGTGGGGGTGCGGGGGCAACACCACCGGCCCACGGTGTATGGGCTCAATGTTATTTGGGTTCGGGTTTTGGGCCTGGTCTGTAACCGTTTCCTTTGCCATATTGGATTAGGTTTAGACCCACATGGAGAAGTACTATAAATACTTCTCATACTCCTCTGTAATCTGTAATCTCCTTGATATAGTGAAACCGGCTCTCTCTCGCCCATGGATGTAGCTAACACACATCGTGTTGGTGAACCACGTAAATCGTGTGTCGTGTTTTGGATTCTCGCTTTCGTATTCTTGCTTTGTCGATTTCTGCGATTTCCCGATCCGTAGCAGCGCGTTTATAACAATCCACATCTTATGCATGCAAAGAAAAAGACTCTGGTTCGTGCACAGTATATGCTCACGATAATTTTTTATCTATATTATAAGAAGAGGAGGATGAAGAGACGAGCAATGAGTAAATTGTGAAGCAAATGGAACTTGTCACTCGAAAAATTACATCGAATCATCCTGGTATGTCTGGTGTGCTTTGGAATCCTCAAATATATTAAGTTGTCACGAACCATCATATATGTAAATTCAAGCACATTGTTTCTATGAGTAATCATGCAGGGTTCGGACATATTTATTCAAATACTGTATCAGACACTTTCATTTGTTAGACAAATTTGAATCAGGATTTAGGAGGTGGGTTGGTTGCCAATCCAACCATCACGATTAACAAACGCATCCCTCGAATACTGCCTCAGGAGAGATGGGTAACGGTCCAAGTTCTTCTCCCATGGAACTCGCTTCGATCTGTCCGAACCTGGTCCTTTACAATTAGCCTCGACGTAGAAGATATTTTTCCTACAGAAATTTACACAATGAAAGCGAATCAAGATTAACATAGATTGAATAGAGTTTGATCAAAAGGTATAGAAAAGGATCATTTCTACTGTACTCTAAAATATTGGTGGATTAAAGTGCATTTTGAAATTGTAATATAACATTAAATGTACAAATTAAAGTTGTATAATAAGGGAATTTGACGTTTATATTATGGTACAACTTGAAGTTGTACCATAATATAAACGTACAAATTTAGTTTGTACCATAAAAGGATTTTACAAAAGAGAACCTAAAGTTGTACCAAAACTTTAAATGTACAACTTCAAGTTGTATGAAAAAAGCAAAAACTAAATCACCACTGCTTTAAAGCATTTTAAAATTCCTCGTAGAAAAAGTAGAGTAACTCACTCTTGGCCGACGTAACGCCAAGCATCCCAGCCATGAGGGTCGATGGCGGCGGTCATATAAGTCGACTGAAAGATGACTCTCGAGTACGGCCCATAAGCTCGGCCGAGGCAAATCGAGACGCCGGGGGAGGCTCCTACCGAGCCGCCGAAGAACACAAACCCACTTGGATCGTTCATTGTTGCCCTGCCTTGCGCCGTTATGTAGCCTCCTCCGGTCGCGTATATCTCTGCGTTCTACAAAATATAGACACGCGTGGCAAGTTTAACGGTCTAACTCATGACGAGTTTATTATAGCCGAAGAACACCAATCATGATGTAAATTTCAATAAAAATTAAGAGATAGTTTTAAATTTTCCGACGCAACTTACTGAGCATTGCACGATACATTTTATTTAATGGATCGAGACCATTGAAACATACATTCCTAGCTATCAATTTTGATGGGAGGCTAGCTATCAAAACAAATGTACCTTTAGAGAGTGTAAGATGTGTGTACCTCATAGAAAGACTGGCCTCGACCGAAAATGAAATCGACGGCTCCTTGGATGTAGCAATTGGAGAAGTAATGTCGGCCGGTGGCGTCCCATAACGTGTCTTGGACGCCGACGAACGAACAGTCGTAGAAGGCCGTCTTGTCGCCGTACACTCTTGCAGCTAGCGCCGGCACTATCCCATTCCCATACGGTTCATCAACGAGGTTCCCGTCAATTGGGCCTGGGCCGGTGCCTGGGTTTGGGCTGTAGATTTTGGGTATGCTCGTTCTGAGGTTATACGAATTCTGAAAGCCCACATGGATTGTGTTGATTGTCAAAATTTACTATCAAATTCAACTTTCACCATTTCAAATTTTTCTCAATTTTAAGTATTTACGTGTGGTTTCATTTTTGTTTTAGTAAATTTGAAAGAAAAAAAATTATTTTCAACTGGTTAATTACCTGGAAGGTGATACCCTTGGCTACAACATTTGGAGGGTAAGAAGAGAATGTAGCACTTTGGTCCATCTGGTTGTGACCATTGTAGATAATGGTCGTCTCCTTTTGTCCTTCGCCTTCTAGAAATACACACGGCTTGTCATATGGAATCGTCACTTGTTCTCTGCATATATACCATGGGCCAACTTTTGATGCATTAACCATAAAACTCGAATACAATCTATAACCCTTGTTTCATCCACAAGAGTAGTACTATTTAAATCAACTATATGGAGTGAAATTATACGACGCTCTTATACTTTCATTGAAGATTTTAAGAGACATTTGGATCAATAACTATTAACATGGATGGATTTATGAAATGTGTGGAAAATTATCTTAAAAAATCAATACTACAATTTAGAGCTATTCTAGTTTAAAACATGTAGTAGATTTCGAAATCTCACTTCCAAACTGGAGATTTGAAATCTCAATATTTTTACAAATTTGTCCAACTCAAATCATTAATTGTCCAATCCGAATATATCGGTCTTGCATACATTAATCACTCTACATATATGTCATGGTGCACAGTTTTTTTCGTCACGGTTCATTAATGCGAAGTTGAGTGAACCGGGTTTTGATATGACTAAAACAAATCTCTACAATACGTGTCCGTTACTCATCGATCTCACTTCTTTAATTGAGATGTTTCGTACTTTACGAAAAAGAAAAATAGAGGAGGAAAAAGGGATGGATAATTACACGTAGGTACCCTGCTGGATATGGACTTTGATCCACCATTTGTTGTAAGAAGGGATGGAATCAATGGCAGCTTGCACGGTCTTGAAGCCTCCCTTTCCCACAAATCTGTAATTTGCACCACCCCACGATGACGGCTTGCCGCCGCAGTCAAGAGCTGCAGCATGATCTTTCACCACCGAATTTGAAAGCACTAAAATCGTCGCTAAAAGCATCATAATCCCTGCCATTTTGTTAGAGACGAGTATGGATTTGTATTGGGTTTAAGGTTTATATGGAATGTTTTTTAAGCAAGGCATATCCGGTTGTTTAATATATAAGGGAAAAATATGATGATACATATTTTATATATTACTTAAAGAGTTGCAATTTCAAATTTGTAGAGATTTTCCTTACCTTAAGAGTTGCAATTTCAAAATTGTGTAGACGTGTATGAATTTCACTTTAACTAGCTAACAAATAATTAATTGGGGATGGAATTTAATGTCCTTGTGTGTATTTTTACAAGTGATCACGTCGACAGAAAACCGTACTTACACAGCTATAGAAAGGACGTGGATGTGTTCAGGGGGGATTGTGGCACTGGTCGTTGAAGAGAAAGAGGAAAAGAGTTAATTACTTGTGGTTTGAAGATATCGAAATTCGGACGTTGTATATTAAAAAATATTGTGTTTTAATCCACCGTGAAGAATTCAATATTTAGTCATTTTTATATCACATAGAGTAATTATAGTGGCGATTAGTAGAAATTTGCATGTGTAGTTAAGTATTCACGTGATAGCAATTATATTCCGATAAAAATTTGCAATCCAATTGTTTACTGACATAACTCTTGCCGGCCAATGTCTGCAATTCACTGGATCAAATCAATAGGGGCTTCATTTGGGGTGATACAGAGGAAAAGAAGAAGATGCATCTAGTTGGATGGCCCCAGCTTGTTCTCCCCAAGGCCAATGGAGGGCTTGGGCTACGTCCGACGAGAGAAATGAATTTGGCTATGCTAGCGAAAGGTTGTTGGCGCATTCTGCAGGATAAAGAGGCTCTTTGGGTTCAGCTGGTGTGCGCCAATTATGGGAAAGGGAGAGAGGACCTTGAGCTGCTCAAGCGAGTTCAGGGAAGTTCCTTTACTTGACGTAGTCTTTCCAAGGCTTCATCTTTGATTAATCAGGGATGTGCCTGGAATATTCATAACGGGAAACATGCTAAATATTGGACTGACGTGTGGGTTTCGCAGGTTCCTCTCCAAGACATGGCCACGGGACCGATCCCGGTGGAAGACCAAGGAGCTAGGGTAGCAGATTTCATTAATGACGATGGGCGCTGGAAGATCGAGAAGTTTGAGGGACTACTGCCGGCGAAAGTGCAGCATCAAATTACAGCAACCGCAGTAGATCACCTTGCTGCTGAGAAAGATAATTTGCTTTGGAAGCCGACCTCGGATGGGAAGTTCTCTACGAAGACCGCTTATCACCTGTTGAGACCTCCCCCTGGTGACACGAATCAACAATGGTGGAAAGGAATCTGGAGCTCCCGGTCCCAGAGCGGATTCGTTGTTTCATTTGGCTGGTGGCGCATGGGAGGATAAACTGCAACGATCAAAGAATGAAGAGACATGTGACGCAGAATCCTTGCTGCTACAGATGCCCTGCGCAACGAGAGACCATCTCTCACATCTTCAGGGAGTGTCCCCCTGTGGTTTTCTTTTGGGAACGGAATCTGCAGCCTGTTCTGCAGACGGATTTCTTCAGCCTTCCTGTTGAGCTGTGGCTGAGGAAGAATCTCTCTTGTGAAGACAGCTCCCCCTCAGGCGCTCCTTGGAATGCTTTTTTCAGCATCGCCCTCTGGGGCATTTGGAAGAATAGAAATGAAGGATGCTTCGGTGGGATGACCAAGACTCTTTCTCCCCCGTCCCTCAACCAAGCAATTAAGATTAAAGCTTGCCTGTGGCACCAAGCTTGGACAACGCCAATTGCTATTCCGGGATGGCTCGCTACCCCTCCATCGCGTACTTTGGCTGCGATTGGGTGGAAGCCCCCTCCTTCAGGTTGGGCAAAACTCAATGTGGATGGTGCTTCCGGAGGTACCAAAGGCCTCGCAGGCGCTGGTGGCGTGTTACGGGATGCTGACAAGGAATGGTTGGGAGGTTTTATTGCTAGTCTGGGAACTCGCTCAGCTACGATGGCAGAGTTGTGGGCGATTTATCATGGGCTTGAGATGGCTTGGAACAAAGGCCACAGATTGATCATTATAGAATGGGACTCCCAAACGGCCATTCAGCTGATCACGAACAGGTCGGACCCTATTCACCCGTGTGCTACTCTTCTGGCTGCTATTAGGCGCAGGCTAGCTCAGGATTGGGTGGTGAATCTAGTTCATACCTACCGGGAGGGGAATAGAGTCGCAGACTGGCTCTCGAAGCACAGTCTCGTCTATCCCTATGGTAGATATGACCTAGAGACTCCACCCGATGGGTTACACTCTCTTCTCCTTGACGACGTCAGAGGCGCTACTATTGATAGAAACATTGTCCTTCCTCCTCCTGCCAGTTTGACGTAGCTCTTCCTTTCCCCTCTATATTGCTTCTCTTTTCTTCGACCTTGTGCCTCCCTTGTTCCAAAAAAAAAAAAAAATTGTTTACTGGATCCTCCAATTACCAATGGTCAATGCTACGATTAATGGAGCATATCACATCTCAAGTCGTAAATGAAATTCGACACGATAAAGAAAACAATTAAAACCGGTCATCTACATTAAGCTTCCATCGCCCCAATTCTAGACGTTGCCAGTAGAGGTGGCAAATGGATTGATCCATGAATGGATGGATTGGATTGGTGGATCCATGGATCAAGTGGATTGGTGGATTATCCATGAATTCAAATGACATCCTCAACCAAGGACCAATATGTAAAATGTGAAAAGTTTAGGTACTATAATGTTGTAATGAAAAAATTTAGGTACCAAAACGTGATTTTCCAATCATATTTTTTGTATATAAAATTAAATTTTTGGTACCAAATTGTAAAATATAAAAAGTATAGGTACCGAACCATAATTTGCCATTTGGATCCATGGATCAATCCATGAATCCACCAATTCAATTGGATTTGGATCAAATGGATTGAATTTAAATGGATTGGATTATGAGGATATTTTTAATGGATTGTTGGATTGGATTAGTGGATTGGATTGAGAATTGTCACCTCTATTGTCACCTAACCACGGTGTGAACTTGGTGTGACGCACCATTCATTGATTGTAAGAAATGAATATCCTCTATGGATGTGTTGCCAGCCACAAACCAAATCTTGAGAGTCAATCTCTAGTGTGTAGTTCCGGTCCGTCCTTATTTCTACCCTTTCCTTAATAAAAAGCAATATCACATTAAAAAAAATGTGTATTATAAATATCATCTTATTAATGAGATGTGATGTTCATCATTTTATACATGGTGCAAAAAGATGCTCTTAACCTTACACTTCACAAGTCTAAGTGTTAGTTAACGTCAAAACGTCTCGTCTAGAGATTCTGCAGTAAGTTAGACATTCGAAATAAGGCAATACCCAAGTGCCACCTAAGAATAACTAGGGGGGACATCAACTGCAAAAGGAATTCTCTCTGAATCTTTTCAATTGCTGAAGAACCATATGAGCAATTGACCTATAATTCTATGAACTTGTAGACTATTTTACTTCTTGAAAAGTAAGTTATCAATCATTTTGACAGAAGTCCAAAAGAGTTGTAAACTTATGGTGTACTTCGTTCAGCATTTGGTACAAACTGCTACTTTTTTATTCCAAAGTCTAGCCAAGATAAGCACTAGACAAAAATCAAACGTTCTTCTTACTTTTAACGCCTTTTGAACCTTGATTTACATATCTAAAATACATGCATTGCTTATACTTTCCAATTTGTTCAGCTTCGGCCCGAATACAGATTCCTATTATTGATATATTCTTGCTATATACTATTTCGGTACACAGCAGGCTGAGCATGACGTAATTGGTTTACTCACCGAGTTATAAAAAAAAAAATAATAATAGCAGCGGCGTACAGACTACAGACAAAAGAATCTTGCTACTTTCTATAATCTGATACGCTGTTTCTGTTTTTCATAAAGAGTGAGACTCATGCTTTTTGAAAACGTCAGAACAACGAGAGGACCAAACTTTGATTAACTCTAATCCTGTCCCCTAAACTTTGCTTCTCCCAAATTGCCACCCACTCATCCCAGGCAGCAAAGCTCACATTAATCGAACCAAGGGTAAATTTGACATTTTCGCAAGCATTGAGACAACTGCGGTCCACATCTAACAACAACAAACTCTATGAAATTTGAACAGAGCACCAAATTTAACATTATCCCACAGGCCACAGCAACACAAGCAAACTTCACCGCTGCCACGCATTAAAAACAGAAACTCGGAGAGTTCTTTTCTTCTACTCCATCTGTAATCTACCAATTGAAACACATTAATATTATCTTAATCCAAACTCCCAACACCTGACATTTGGCCCCAATACCCCTACTGCTCTGATACCAATTCGCAGCTAAGCCTGCCTTCCAATCAACAAAGAGTATTATTGCCATTTGCCAAACAGTCTAACAGCCACAAGCAAGCTCAATCAACTGATCGAACAACTTCTCTAGCTCCAAGTCTCCTGTGCAGACCATGAGAAACTAATCGACAATATAACAGACAGGCTCACCCCCTGCAAACCCTCCACCAAACTAGACACTGAATATAGAATCTGTAATCTCTAAGCTTTCGTGCATCGAGACCGATACAAGTGCTCACAAGTCACGCATTAAACACCTATACCAGGAGATGTTAAGAGTAAGAGATGGGAGAATCTAACTTTCTAGCAACCCCGATTTTGAAATGCCTCCAGGGGGTTCATGGAGCAGCAACAATAGCTACATCAATGGATGACCATGGTGTACGAAAGAGGTAATGGTATGCAGAGCTAGGGTTGACATAACTAGAAATATGCAGGATCAGAAAACGGAAAGAAGCAATCGAGCACTGGAACTGGAAGCAGCAGAAAAGAGAACTGATACAGAGACTTGAAGAAGGCAGACGGTATGTATATTGCAACGAAAAGAACTTAATCATAATATGTAACGTAACAGCACAGTTCAACATGCATAATCCCAGCATTCAAACTTCCAGAGAAACAATGTTATTGCAGATACCTACATATCAATCCAAAGAAAACAATGACATTTGTTTTGATGCAAGTCAACTAGAAGCAAGATGTGTATGTAAACAATGATATAATCATAGTATCTAGCCAACACTGTTCAATTAGCATAATTCTGAAATATCCCATTAGTGTTCTGTTCATGGAGATGATCAGCTTGAAGGTACCCCCTTTCTTCCTCCCAACTGATTCCGTTGAGACTACAAATACAGACTTGCAAAAGAATCTGATTGTAGATACCTAGAATCTACTAAACTGAACAGCCTACAGATACCCCATCAAACTTTCATGACCCTTCTTCCATAGTCTCCACCAAATCCTATGATGGCGCCTGGAAGTAAGACAACAAGGGAAGCCAACTAGAAACAAGACATAACCCAATGATCAAGATGTTATTCATGCAAATTCAGAACTTGCAAACTTTACTTGATTGAGAGAGGAAGTAAGGAAGCAAAACAGCAATGCCATCATATGCTAAGAGCTTTTCCATGTGAAGAGCAGAGCTTTTCTCACATGATTGAGCTAATCTTCCCTTTGTATATATACATTCCGAATCGCAAAATGGAAAACAAATCCCATTCAATTCTAAACCATGTAAGCAAATCAACATCAAACAAGAGTTTCCAAGAACATTTCAAGACTACATACAAACAAAAGGGGAGGGAGGAGACTTCGAAAGCAAAGCATTACCAACTTCTCAATCAAATGGAGGAACCTGAACTATCTCCGGCACCAGAGGCCGAAGCTCCCCAACCACCGGAGGCAGCAGCAGCTACCCCTTTCTTCCTCTTCTCTTCCTCGTACTCTGTATCATCAGTCGCCAGCTCGAACCTACAAACCGGGCAAGAGTTCCTCGACCCCAGCCATGGCACAATGCAGTCTCCATGGTATCCATGGCCACATGGCAACTTCGTTTCCTTCTCACCAACACTGATCATATCCTTACAAACAGCACAAACCGAAGTCTCCCCCTCGCCTGTTACCTCAATCGCCGGTAAAGCAGACACTGCTGATTTCGAGGCCGGAGGAGCGCCTTTCCGGCCGCCTTCGCTGTCGGCTAGGTTCTGCAGCAGCGCCTCGTACCCGGCAGCATCGACGTAATCCTCTGGATTGCCTATGTATCTATCTGATTCAGGGACTTCGAGACGGAATTCGATCGAGTTATCCTCCAGTCCCATCAGGATCTCGGCCCAATCAAGAATCCGATTCCTCCCTGTCCTGGTTCTGGTCGCAAAATCGCGGATTCGGAGGCGGAGAATTTCGCGGCGCCTCCTCCGATCTTCCTCGTCGTCAACGTCGATGTCTCTATCCGATCGATCGTCTCCATCTCCTCGATGGACTTCGCTCCGATTCTCTCCGTCGTTCTCGTTCTCATCGGCGTTCAAATTCACCTCCTCTTCTTCCTCGCCATCGCCGTCCTCCTCCTCCTCCACCTCTTCTTCTTCGCCTTCTTCTTCATCCTCGGCCTCTTCTTCTCCGTTGTCCCATCCATCGAGGTCGATTCGGAGGAAATCATCCTCTGATGGAGAAGCATCGCGGCGGTGGTGCGAAGGTGGAGGAGGAGAAAGATGTGGCGGCGCGAAGTCGTCGTACTCCTCCTCGCGAGCTGCTTGCGCTATTATGCGAAGCATTTGCAGGAACTGAGATCCGAATGTGTCGTCGGAGGGATCGGAGATCAAAGAAGGAGTGGCAGAGATGGACGGCGGGGTGGAAGGGCCGGCGGGGATGGATTCGACGAAGCCGTTCTTGCAGTCGAGGCAGATGACATCGGGGAGGTTGGCGATGGTCTCAACGGAGACGCGCTTCTCGCAGTGGTAGCACCAGTACTGAGAGGAAGCGTCGGTGCGTGTGCCGGTGCCGGTGCCAGCGGCGGCGGCGGAGGGAGACGGGGTTTCGGCCATTCGTTAAAGGAAATTTTATCGTTTTGGTGGGGGAGGAACGGCTGGCCGAGGAACGCCCGGTTGGAAAGAAAGGGAAGGGAAGAAAGAAACTCGAGAAAGAGATGCGAGTGGGGAAAAAAGATTACCAAAGCAAAAAGAAAAAGAAAAAGAAAAAGAAAAAGAAAAAGAAAAAATGAAAGTAAATGAGAAAGTCTGGGGCAAAGCACGCGCCCCAAAAAATCAAACTGTTTTAGTTTTTTTTTTATATAGTTTTATATATATTTCTCTTATGTCACCTTTAACATTAATTAACAGGCCTTCACAAAAGAGGAAGAAATCTCCTTCCCGTTTTCTCTGAACCAGACCTATTTCAATGGCAGCCTCGCCGTCGGCCGCCGCGCCGGCTGGCGAGGGTTCTTCGTCCTGGGCTCAGTTATTCTCTGTGGCGCCTGAAAAACGTCTCATCTATCATCCGCCTGAACGAGTCAAGGATGGGTTTCGGATTCCGGAAGCGGTCAAGGAGAAGGGGGCCGAACGATGGAAGCTGTCTCTAATCGGGCAATTCGTCGGCAAGTGTCCCAAAATTGCGGAGCTGCAGTCCTGGGCAAACCGTATATGGGGAAGAGATGGCGTGGTTCGCGTTTCGCGATTTGGTCCCAGACTCCTGGTGTTCCAGTTTCCTTCGTTGCAGGCTTGCGACTGGGTTTTCAAATCGGGACCGTGGCACTTCATGGGTAACCCGGTTTTCTTTCGAAAGTGGGAAGCAGGTATACAGCCTCTTACTCCTCAAGTTGAATCACTTCCTATATGGGTTAAGCTCTGGGGATTGCCCCTTGAGTATCTGGGCAAGGATGGGATAGAATGGGTTGCGAGCACCATAGGCAAGCCACTCTGGACTGACCAGAAGACTAGATTTGGTGATCAGCTAGGGTTCTCTAAGGTTTGTATTGAGATCTCAGCAGATAGTGAATTCCCCTCAACAATTCGGATGTATCCAGATAATGATCCAGTTTTTGAGATTGGGGTGGAATATCTGCAGCTCCCAACAGTTTGTTCAAAGTGTTGTGTGTTTGGTCACATATGCCAGAAGGAGGTTCAAATGCAATGGAGAGTTAAGGAAGTGAACCAGATTGCATCTAATGTTGTGGAGAAGGAGAATGTTATGGCTGAGAGTGGAGAAGGGTCTACTACTGTTGAGGAAAGCTCGATAGATAAGCGAGGACTGGAAGAGCTACCTGTGTCTGATAACAATGAACCTAGCAAAGGTGAAGAGACAATCATTATCACTCCTGTGTTGGAAGTGGCTGCTGGGGAGGAGAGCCCTGATGTTGCAACTCAGACAGACTCTCAGACTATGACTCCTCATGCTGTTGAAAGCCCTCCATTGAGCTTTGCCCAGATTGTGCGTGGATCATCACCAGGGGGTGGGAGTCCAAGCTCTTCTGAGCAAATTGTGAACTGTGCCAAATCACCAGTCTCTGGGAGTTTGGCGCAATCGCAACCTCAAGGAGGTGGCTCGAATCCTGCTATGGGGAAAGAGAACAAGAAACCCCCTGATAAGGGAAAGAAGGTTTGGGTGGACTCACCACTGGTTCCACTCCAACCAAAAAAGGGTAAAGGTGGTAAAGGCAGAGGGAAGAAATGAGATTTCTTACTTGGAACACCAGAGGCTTCAAGGTTGATAGTAAGTATAAAGCAGTTATAAAAAAGGTAAATAAATATAGTATTGATATAGTAGCTATACTAGAACCTCGAATTAGAATTACTGAGACAGATAAGCTGCTAGGCAAGAGATTCCCAGAATGGATGAGTAGAGTAGAACACAACCAAGATGGGTTGGGTAAGATTTGGTTGTTGTGGAAGAATGATGTGAGTCTAACAGTACTTCACTCCTCTGATCAATTTATCCAGTTTATGGTGGGGGGTTCTCAACCATTTTTTGGCACTGTTGTTTATGCATCAAACAATGAAGGAAGCAGGCATGCCCTTTACAATGATATTAGCAGAATTAAGGTTTCTAATGCCCCCTGGATTATGCTAGGTGACTTTAATGACATTAGAAGACCTGAGGAAGCCTCAAACTCCCCCAGAGTTGATACCTCAATGACCCTTTTTAATGAGTGGATAGTGAACAATGAATTAGAAGAACACCAAGCTACAGGTCCCTGGTTCACATGGCTTAATAAACAGACAGCAAACCCTATTGCCAAGAGGTTGGATAGGGCTCTTATTAACTTTCTTTGGATGGACAAAGTCAAGGACAGTAAGGTTCATTTTCGAGCACCAGGAGTCTCGGATCACTGCCCTATTTTTGTTGACACCTTAGCCTCACAGAAGTCACTCCCTAAACCTTTCAAATTTTTTAAGTTTTGGTTGAAGCACCCTCGATTTGATGAGTTGCTTGATACGGCTTGGAGTAGTGTAGTTACAAGTAAACATCCTCTGATTAGAGTCTGCCAGAAGCTGAAGAATCTTAAGAATTTACTAAGGCAGTTAAACAGGGAGGAGTTCGCAGATATTACGGAGAAGGTGAGAGAGAAAGAAGATGAGGTCCAGAAAATCCAAAAGCTGGCACTCAGTGATCCTTCCACTTCAAATTTTGAAGCTGAAAGGAAACTAGGGCAGGAGCTGAAAGTGTTAATGGATGCTGAGGAGTGTTTCTTTAGACAGAAGTCAAGAGAGTGCTGGCTAAAAACTGGGGATATGAACTCTGCCTATTTCCATCGTTCTGTCAGATCAAGACAAAAAAGATGTACTATTCGAATGCTAAGGAGTGAATCAGGGGAGCAAGTTCAAGAAGTAGAAGATATGGCTAAGATTGCAGTTGGTTTTTATGAAAACCTGTTGGGGGTAGTGGATCCAGAAGTGAAGAAGATGCCAGATAGTTATGTCTCTGCTTTACTGAAGAATAAGCTCAATGAGGAGCAGACTGATGATCTCTGTGCACCATTTACAAATGAGCAGATTAAGGCTGTTCTATTTGCAATGGATGGGGACAAAAGTCCTGGTCCCGATGGGTTCTCTGCAGCCTTCTTTCAATACGCTTGGCCACTCATTGGTTTTTATGAAAACCTGTTGGGGGTAGTGGATCCAGAAGTGAAGAAGATGCCAGATAGTTATGTCTCTGCTTTACTGAAGAATAAGCTCAATGAGGAGCAGACTGATGATCTCTGTGCACCATTTACAAATGAGCAGATTAAGGCTGTTCTATTTGCAATGGATGGGGACAAAAGTCCTGGTCCCGATGGGTTCTCTGCAGCCTTCTTTCAATACGCTTGGCCACTCATTGGAGATGAGGTATGCTCTGCTATTAAGTTCTGTTTTGAGCAAGATAGGATTCCTAAGCCAATTAATGCTACCATTCTCTCTCTCATCCCTAAAGTCCCAAATCCTGATGAAATGAAAAATTTTCGCCCCATCTCATGCTGCAACATATTATACAAGTGTATATCCAAACTCATTGCTAATAGACTTAGCCCTCTATTACCTTCTCTAATTAGCAAAAACCAGACTGCTTTTGTCAAGGGCAGGCTAATAGGGGAGAATATCCTTTTGGCTCATGAACTGGTTCATAAGTACTCTAGGCAGAATATTTCTATGAGATGTGCCCTTAAGATTGATCTCATGAAGGCCTTCGACTCAGTTAACTGGGAGTTTATAATTCAAGTTTTAAGATGCATGAAATTCCCTGAAAGGTTTATTAACTGGATCAGTATGTGTATGTGTACCCCCATGCTCAGTGTTTGTTTCAATGGAGGTCTAGTTGGTTATTTTCAAGCAAAGAAAGGGGTCAGGCAAGGTGACCCCTTGTCTCCCTATTTGTTCTCTATAGTGATGGAAGTTTTCACTTGTTTGCTTGATGACTTGGCTGCTAGAGGGCTGTTTCCTTATCACCCTATGTGTAAAGGTATCAAGCTCACCCACCTTTGTTTTGCGGATGACCTCCTGGTTTTCTCGGATGGTTCCAATTATGGGATACAGGAGATGAAAAGGGTTTTAGACCAATTCAGGATTGTATCTGGCCTTAAGTCTAACCCTAGCAAGTGTGAGGTGTTTTTTGGGGGACTTGACAAAGAGGAACAGAAAATCAGGCCAGCAAGGTATGGATATAAGCTTGGTGAATTCCCAGTCAGATATCTGGGAGTTCCTTTAATATCTGGGAAGCTCAGTTTATCTTCCTGTCAAGCTTTAATTGATAAGATTGTTGCAAAAGTGAAAAGTTGGCAGGCAAAGTCCCTCTCTTATGCTGGAAGAATAGAACTTGTTGGCACAGTTTTATATAGTCTTGCACAATTCTGGATGTCAGTGTTCCTGTTGCCTAAATCTGTTATTAAAGAGGTGGAGAGAATCTGTAGCAATTATATATGGGGAGTAGGAGTTGGGACCAAACTGAGAGCAAATGTTCTCTGGCAGAAGATTACATATCCAAAGAAAGAAGGTGGACTGGGACTTCGAGATATGTGGAGCTGGAATCAGGCATGCATGATGAGGCATATATGGCTGCTTCTTCTGAAAGAGGGTTCATTGTGGGTTGCTTGGATTCATACCTATAAACTGAAGGGAAGAGACCTGTGGAGTTATACTTGCACATCAGGATCCTGGAATTGGCACAAGGTGTTAAAGTTAAGAGGAAAGATTGCCCCTTTCATCTCGACTAGTGGTGGGGAACTAAGATTCGAGAATGCCCCTATGGCTATTTACTCTATCAAGAGGGTGTGGCAGAATCTGAGGCCTATTCAGCAGACTGTTAGCTGGTGGAAGTTAGTCTGGAAGGGGAAAGCTATCCCTCGGAATAGGGTGATTACCTGGCTTGTAATCAGAGGGAAAATCAATACTAAAGAAAGGATGAAGAGGTGGGGCTACAATGGGGGAATGGAATGTTGTCTTTGTGGAGCAGGAGAGGAGGGCAGAGATCATTTGTATGCTTGTTGTCCTTTCTCTCGTTATGTACTTGAAGCAGTTTTTGTCAAGTTTATGCAAATTCCAGTTATGCAGAGTTGGGATGAGGTTCTAGGTCTGATGCTGTCTAAGCTTGGGGGAGTCACAGAGGAAACTGAGACAGGAAAACTGATATGGCAGGCCTGGGTAAGTTACATATGGAGAGAACGTTGCAG